GGGAGAATCGGAAGACGAAGAGTAAAAGTGAGGAAACTCATGGTTTGAGATAAAGACAGTTTAATAAGTAAAGCAAAAGCCGCGCACGCAAGCAAAGTAAAACAAGGAATTTGTTCACCACTCCCCATGGGCAGGCAGGTGTTCAGCCATCTCCAGGGAAGCTGGGCTCCGTCACGCGTAATGGTTTCTTGGGAAGACAGACGCCATAACTCCGAACGTCCCTCCACCCCTTCCTTCTTCTTTGTCCCAGCTTTATATACTGACCATGACGTTATATGGTATGGAATATCTCTTTGGCCAGCCTGGGTCAGCTGTCCCAGCTGTGTCCCCTCCCAGCTTCCCGTGCACCCCCAGCCTGCTTGCTGCAGGCCAGCATGAGAAGCTGGATTTTCCTTGACTACTTAGCAACAGCTCAAAACATCAGCACCTTATCAACATTTTCTCATCCCAAATCCAAAACATAGCCTCACGCTAGCTTCTGTGAAGAAAATTAACTCTACCCTGGCTGAAACCAGGACATTTACCCTGGATGGGATTCGAGCATTCGCTCCCTTTTCAACGGCTCACTGTGTGAACCGAGCCACGGTGAACCACACTGGAGGGCTCTCCTCTGGTGTCTCCCTTCTGCCGGGGCAGGCTGGGAGCAACCACCGGGCTACCAAGTGGATGGACAACACCACCACGGGATGTGACTCCTTGCTGGCATCAGGCAATTCCATGATCACTCTGAACAAAAGATGGGCAGGGAGCGGCAGGTCATAGATCCGATCCTTTGGTTTGTTGTTTATAAACAACCTAAAAAGAAGTGCAGGCACCAAGGAGTTTGCTTTCCCTCAAAGCTTCTCACACCTTTTGCCTGGATGGGTTGCTCCTTCCCTCCTCCTGACTTCTCTGTCCACATGTATCGCCTCCCACGCCACCACCATGCCCGCCTGCTTATTTGTGGTAAGCCAGTGTGGTTTGATATGGTTTTATCAGAAAAAGACTTGGAAACATTTGTGGTTCTCTTTAAACCTGTGGTGAGCCAGTAAGTGCCGTATGCAGCTTGTAGAATGAAGCACAGCTGAAATGGCACCCTGCAGGCTAGGGGTGGCTGGGCCTGAGCACCAGCTAGCCCGACACTGTCTTACCCTGCAAACCACTTCTGTGTCCTAAATAGCGTTAAATACCTGGTGTCAGTCAAAGTCAGCTTGCACAAGCCCTTAAGGCTCTTCAGTGGGAAAGGGTGTGCAGAAGATACCCTTCACACGGGCACTTCCCTGCAGCATGCCGGATCCATGCTTCCCACATGCGACTCTCCCAGAGGAGTACACCTTCCCAAGGATGCTGTCACCAACGCAGAGGTGTCCAACACAGCTGTTTCCAGCTGCTTGAGAAACCAGTCACCCAACCGGTCCCTGCTGGCTGACAACACACGGGCTGAAGGTGCTCGTCGGGGATGACTGCACATCTTGAACCATGCGCGGGGCTCCGTGACGATCCTGTGCTTTGAATGAATCTTCTGCCAACAAAAAGCAAGTAAAACTCGAGGGAACAAAGCACTGACAAGGACAGGGATCTATTAGGATGAATTTTTGTCTCTTCATGCTTCAGCAGAGCTGTTGTCAGCCAATGACATTGGCTCCCTGCTGCCTGTGGACAGGCACCAGGTAACTCATTGTGAGAAGGTCAAGGAAAACTACAAATGGTGAAACCACACACCGTATTTCTGTATGAACAATATCATATGGTTTAAAATTCATGTTGTGGAGGTCTAGAACAGATTTAAAGTCTCTCTTGAATTTTGAACATGAACTTTTACCTGAATTGGCAATACCAGTGTAAAGGGCTGCATTTTATTTTTGCTTTAAATAACATTTTCTTGCCTTTCTAGCAACGGCTTAACATTCACAGAATCACAGAATCACAGAATCACAAAGGTTGGAAAGAACCTTCAAGATCATCAAGTCCAACCATTAATCCAGTGCCACCATGTTCCCTAAACCATGTCCTGAAGCGCCACATCCACACGTTTTTTGAACACTTCCAGAGATGGCGACTCCACCACCTCCCTGGGCAGCCTGTTCCAATGCTTGACCACCTCTCGGTGAAGAAATTTTTCCTAATATCCAATCTAAACCTCCCCTGGCGTAACTTGAGGCTATTTCCAACAGTAGGATTTTTGTTAAGTATACAAAATCGTGTTTTCCCTAGCTGCAGTTGTGGATGAAATCAACAGTGTGCTGCCTGCAATTCTGAAAAACTGATTTCTACCACCTACTATTTTTACCCTCAAAGTGTAGGCAATATCAAATAATCTCAGAATAGCTTTGGACCTGTTTCCACTTGTAGGATTTTAAGTGTCCTCAAAATAGAATCAAATGCCCATCTCTTGAGAGCTTCTATTTGATGATGGTAAAAAGCATTCTTTTGAATGAAATAAAAAGTCAATCTGACCCTAACGAAATACTTTCTCAAAAAAAGAGTCTAGGAGTTTAAAAACAACCCAACAGAAAGGTCATTTAGTTGCATGGAAGAGAGCATGAGTACAAGGAGGCCTCAAGGAGAACAAAATGCAGAGGTTTTTGCAGCAGAGACTCCCACCACCACGCTTCCCAAGGTCCTCAGTGCTGCAATGCCAGTCTTCCAAGCCCAGTTGCATCACCAGACCTTGTTTGCTGAAGGGATTCTTTACAGAAAAATAATTGGAAAGTTCTCTGGGGTCACCTGGTTCTCTGGACCTCGTCTTATTGTCCCACCTCAGTACCAAGTGAAGAAGTTACTTTTGCTGTACATTCAACAGGCAGATTTCAGGTAGATAGTGAACATTCTTTGAGGTACTGAACAGCTAAAATGACACTCAAATTTTCTCATCTAGCAGTACTTAAAGAAAATTTCCTGCAGCAAACATCAACAGACCAATGCACTGACTTGCTGTCTTCCTTTGCCTCAATCCTAACGGCCCAAATCGAGCACACTCCTCAGTTCTTGACTGGATCTGAATGGCTGCAATTCGCATTCTATTGGCATTTCTTTCTCCAGACCACTCACTACCCATGCAAAGCTTGCTAATTTTCCATTGCTGCATCACATCTTCACGTGTTGAAAATTCACGCACGTACTTGTGACATTTTAGCAGTTTTTGCAGAATGACAGTCTTTTTATTTTTACTGGGTCAGTATACAGCCACATGATACACTGAAGCTAAGAAAAACTGGGGAGAATGATTCACAGTAAAATTTTGAGAAGTCTATTTCTTCTAAATAAAGGCAGAAACAGTTCTCATACAGTCCATGATCAGTGACTAAATTCTACATTATTTTAAATTTACTAAGCACTATAATCATTAGTGACAATACTACTGTTGAAGATAAGGCAGGAGCAAGATCTGATCGACATCTGTTTTATATTTATAGTGTTCATACTTGTATATTATTTTATAAGCATACACTTGTATAAAACAGCAACAAAATAAAATTGTCCCCACAACAATAAACAGGGTATATTGTACAGCTTATAAGTTATGGTATACAGTAAAACTGATATCACATCCTATAGGTTATGGGGTACATGAATAAATAGACAATGATCTATTAAAATGCAAATTTAACAAAGAGGTTTAAAATAGGAAGTAAGGTATTACATACAATGGTGCTGATTCATCATTACTGCTTTTACTCCAGTTTAAAATAGTGGCACTTTCATATCACGGGAAACTTGGAAGTAATAAGATAATGAATCACAGTCAATACAAACACTTGGGCAGAGCTGTAATATTTTAACAGCAGCCAGAATTTTTTAGAGTGCTTGATTTTGCAACCCTGAAGATGAATTGTTCACATTTAGTTTCTCTGCCTGCCTCTTGAATACATATTAACAACAACAAAAAAAGTACTTGTTTTATGGTATTCACCAGCTTTGCTTTTTGATTTGGAAGTAAATACTCAGCTTGTCGCTTTGCCATTGCTCTTTCACACTAAACCAGAACCAAGCCACGGAAGCCCATGGCAGTCCCATGGGTCCATCCCACTTACACAGTGGCTGATATGTTGTTGGCTTTTAACGATAAGCAACACCCTAAGTATCAAATCAGTCTATCTATAGAATTTAAAACCCTAAACTACCTTGGAACATTCATATATTTTATGTACTACTAAGCTGGCAAATATGATTTAATTACAAGTCTCTACTCTAGGTAATAGCTTTTAAATGCACTGAAGTCAAGATGTGCCATAATATTCCTACAACTACACATATAGTTGTACCTAATTCCTGATTTTGCAATGCTGCAACTCTCCAGCAGTAACAGAAATGTATGTATGTACATATGTAATAGAAAAGGAGCAAACCCCTGTTGTAGATGGACTTATGTCTGCTATTCTCATGCTCAGTGATTACATTTATATCAAAAACAGTATCAGCAGGGGATTGGTGTGGGAAGAGAAGCACAAAATGCTGCTCAAGAATGTGTGAAGCCAGATGGCCTGGTGGGTAAGTGGTAATATCAAACACAAAGTGATACTTCTGCTTGCTAGGGCTGCTTGTGCTTCTTAGTCATGGCTTCTCCAGCTACTCACAGAACATGATGATGAGGTCTAATGAGGAAGCTGCATAACAGTCATAAAAACTGTTTATATGGTTTTGCTGCACCAGACAGTTTGCCCTTGGAGCTTTAAAAGAGACAGGAGGCAGCCATGGGGGGCTGAGTGGTTGAAGGCAGACAGTGATTTTATGTCTGGGTTAGATTTAAAGAAACAGTATGATTCACACTGCAAATCAATGTTTATTTTACCACAGAACCATCAGAATTGACAATAGGGTGCCAGAGTGCATCTTTACTAATCTATCCCATAACAACACGGGAGCACAATTTTTAAAAGACACATTTATACCACTGGTAACCACTTTTGTCCTCATTACTTAATTAAAGATTAGAAATGCTTTGGGACACATAGACACACACAAAAAAAAAGCAATACAAATTTTTTGTTGCTGTCAGAAACAAAGTGCCAGGTGGTACATCACCGTTTCCTGGTCCCACTGTTGCCACTGGCAGACTTACTGAAACTTCTGCTCATTTGTGGGAAGTGTACTGTTGGTGTTCTTTCAGTGGGGCCATACAGCCCTAAATTCCTGGCTGTAGCTGACTTTCGAAGAGGCTTGACACTGGGAAAAGGATTGAAGACCTGTGGCTTTGGGTTCCCAGGCTGGGGAGATTTAGCCAGGTTTCCACTGTCGCCGGATGAACTAGATGACTCGGACAAACATGGCTGGCAGGACTGATGTGATGTTGACTCAGCATCGTTTTTTTTATCTGAGGAGAGTTCCAATGCTTCCAGTTTTAGCTGAACCACTGACATGTTTGTACTGCTGTCCATAGAAACTGGCTCAGACGACTGCTGGTCAGCTTTTCGAGTAGTCCTGTCATCCAAACCACCTCCTCCTCTTTCTCCAAAGTCAGAATGTTTGGAAGTCTCCTCCTTTGCACCAGGACTATTTGTTTTACAGCTCTCATTCTGCTCATCTATTAGTCCTATGGTATCCCCATAGCCCAGCTGGCCTTTGGCCCTAGCAATATTCTTTCGATGAACTCGTATGTGAGTGCGCCACGGAGAGTTCAATTTTGTTTTAAGATCTTCCTGGGGAATGGGAGACATCTTCCCTGTAACATGACTTGGAATGTGAATAACAGCATTTTTGAGCGACCTGTTATTCAATTTCATCTTCTTTCCCAAAAGGAGGTGGTTTATCACCGGGGAATGGTTTACCTGAGAAGGGAGGAGGCTGGTAACTGGCCCTTTGTCTGAAACAAAAGGGTTTAAAAGAAACACTGTATTGTTAAAAGATCAAAACAAATTAATGTTCTAAGGATCCACCACCAAATTTGATGCCTTTCTTAAGGTATAGCAAATGTTTGTAGGACTGACTTCTATTAAAAAAAAAAAAAAAAAAAATCACTGAATTTCTCTTACATCCTGGAGTCAAACACAAAACTAACTCCTATAATAAATTTTTCCCGTCCTCTCTCCATGCTTCTTACTTATGTGTACTTATTTATTACTGAAATATGTAGCTTTTAAACTTACACATTCTTACTTATGTGTAAGTCCTCATCCAGGAACACCATGAAAATAAATCATAACAAAAAAGAGCTTCTCAAGTTCTGGAATTGCACTGTAACTGATAGTTTAACATTAATATTGGCTTCCGGTCTTTCCCTTCTCCTCCATTTCTCTTCCAACTGTAAGAGGCAATTCAGTCCCTATACGAGGTCAGTCAAATAAGCATCTCCATGAGGCTTGTGTGACTGGACAATGAACTGATGTATTTTTAATGGATAAACTGTACCAACTCTTTTCTATTAAGTCTTCTTATTAAACCAGAGCAGTAGATTCAGAATTAGGTAATTAGATGACAGTTTGATTAAACCACAAACCCAGCCCCTCATTATGATTAGTAAGATTAGAAATGTTTGTGTTTGGGGAGTGGGGGTTGGCAATCCTTGGGAATCAACATTTTACTGTTTGCACTGTTTCTGCTGGCTACAGACTTTATTCAAATCAAATACTTCACCAATATTAAAAAAAAAATTCCTTACAACTGATGTTAGTGGAAAGTTGCAGCTCTATGTATTCAAATGCTCCTTATAGGACAAGTTTAGACAATCTAGAAGAGGAATAAAAATTCTCCATAGTGATCCATCTGCATGGTTCAATGCTAACTTAAAGACAACACCTAAGCGGAGGGGAATGAGTGGGGTGGGCTGTGTCCAGCTTGCACACCCACTAAAACCTTCAGTTGCACTGTTCATGCTGACCCCTGTGGTGTTGAGTTCGACAATTGGGGAAACAGACTCTATAATGTGGATTGCTAAATAACGGGCTGATGTCTGGCTTAATCCTCACAGCTGTATCATTATGGCTAGGTAAAAACTGTCAGCCAAAATGGAACATCTAAGCCAGTTCTTCAGCAGTAATTTGCCATGTCCAGATGAACTCAGAGGAGTTAGGATAACATGGACCAGCTAGGAATCTACCTGCCACTTGATCTGAAGTGTACTCATCTCCTCATTTCACTTTTTCCAGTGCATCAGTATGTCAACTCCAAGAATGCCAAAGATTTGAAGTTTTTAATCAGAAAGATCAACACAATGCACCCAGATAGCAAAGACATTTTTAAATACCATTGTTCAGCTGGTCCCTGGGATCTAAAAAAATCCCAGGGTCATCAACTTCAGATCCTGACAAAAAGAAGACAAAACATCACCTTCTCATTTACAACCTGTCCATACAAAGTGGCACCCACTTTACTACTGTGTTACATATTCCATCAGTCTCTCATTTTGTCTATTTGGTCAAACATAAAAGAATGTTATTTGCCTTGTTTCCTATGATGAAGTGAGCTTGTAATAAATCAGTAAATGAAACATGTTTTGATATGTTACCTGCTCTGATATACACATGGTGAACCTGCTGTTGCTGCTTCTTCTTTATCCTGGAATATTGCTTTTTCAAGGCATTAATATCAGTGGTCATACGCTCCATCATCATGCTGTTAAAAGCAGCATGATACTCGCTTCGGCAAGAGTCTATTGCTCCTGGACTTAATTCTGCAATGTTACTGGAACCCAGACTTTGTTCTTCATTCTGATCTGCACAGAGTAGGAATGAAGTGGAGATGAGGAGTAAATTGGCTTACTCAAGAGTTCTGCAGATTATCTACAAGGGAAGTCTATGTCTGATTCCTATTGTTTTATTTAACTGTAGTCTTTAATTAAAAATTTATTGTAATAAACGTATTTAACAAAGCTGCACTATGTAAAATAAGACATATTACATATCTAGAACTACTGCTTAAGAACAGCAAGCGTTTGAGGGAAGTTTAAAGAATACAAAAGTCAATTAACATAGCAATGCAAAGTTATAAGCACAGTTCTTCGATTACCCAAAAGTGCATCAAGCTAAAAGTACATCAATTACTAAAGTAATTCAGAAACTTATTATTAAAGACATTCAGTTGGTCAAAGAAAAGGCTAACAATGCAAGTTATATTACAGTCAAGCAGGCATGAGATTAAACAACTGAGCTAATGATACCAGCAAGAAGCATCAAGAAACAGCTATAGAACCACAGAGAGAAAGCTGCTAGTAGCAACAAAAGAGATAGGTGCAGAGCAGCCAAGGATCAGGCAACATGAGCCTGTCTCTGATCAACAGCTGCAGAGCAATGACAGCAGTGCAATTTATTTTCACAGCTGTTTCTGATGCACCACCAAACTGGCACTCCAGGGTCAAGGGGACAATTCTTTTCCAAGGGATGTTTGTTTTGTCTTCAGCTTAGTGTCACAAAACACTACAGCAAACAAGAGGAAAACTGCAGCTTGTAGGTCTCAGCAACACCAAGCCACATGAATGATGATGTGTAATCAGATAACAGCGACTGCTATATCAGTCTGGGTTTTTTGGGGGGAAAGGTAGGGGTGGGTTGGGGATAAATAACGATAAGCCTCTCCCAGCATATCGTAAAATCACTGTTGATCCAGTACCATTTTGTAAAGGCTGCTGCAAGTCAACAGATGATCTGATTTTCTTGTATGGATCAGAATTTTGTTCTGCTTGTAGAGCTTGCACAGGTGAACATAAAATTCTGTCAGAAATTTTTTTTCACAGGGGAAGGATTTGAAAAATAATGGCCTTTTTTCAGAACACTCTAAATCATACCCAATTTTTTTTTTAAAAAAGTGAATATACCCAAAACAACAGTCTGAAGGTTTGGCCAAAAGGGCTGTGAAATGACCTGCAGAATTCACTCACTGCCGACAGGTTCCAGTGTTAGCCATGCATATGCTAATAAAGGTCAAGATTATTTATTACATGTGCACTCTTCAGAAATGCTGACTACCCAACAGCTTTCTTGGAAATAAGCATGGATTTAGGATGGACTTCTTTCCACACATGTGCTGGCTTTTCTTTTGTGGGTGGGCAACACTATGAGATTGTTTTTTTAACCATTACTGTAGCCAAATCTTTAATCCACATTGTCATTTATTGCATGCATACAGCCTTCGAACTTGACTTTGAAGACATCTTCATGGACCGCAGAGCGAGTCGTTTGGTACCTTCTGTAATCTCTCCGTGAATATAAAATACAATTTTGATAGCAGCTTTCACAGAGGAAGCTACAGATGATTTCTGCAAGATCATCCAGATTTAACTACGTTTTCCAAAATGAAGAAAAGCACTTTTACCTTTCATCTGTTTTTGGTATTTTTGGAGCTCTGGTGCCAAAAACCCACTTAAGGGTCCAAGACAGCCAATTGCATTGGCAATTGAGTCTTCATCATCTAGGTCATTCTCCTCATCACTGTCTCTGGTTCTGCTTAGCCTTCTGTCAAATGAGAACACAAGAGAAATAAGAAAGAGACATTTTTAAATAATGATCATTACCAAACGTCTTTATCTTCCTTAAGAGCATACAAGGGAGAATGCTACCTGCCTTTTCATTATCTGTATAGGGTGAACAATAACCCTACATGCCATAAGTAGTGCATTTCAAACTTACCCTGAAAGTGAAGTTGATTTTACTGCTGCAGGGAAAGGAGTAATGTTGTACGTGTATTTCTCCCTTAATTCTGCCAGTTGTGGGAAGGGAAACTGAGCCATGGTATAAACAGTCTAGGGAAAAAAAAAATATGTAGCTTTTAAAGTTGTCACTTTAACTAACAGTTCCACAAAAGATTTCTCCATTAACAGACTTTCACAGTCTTGCAGGATTAAAGGCTGCACATTCTCAAGTGCCGTAAGAAAATGGAAGCGGTCTAGTTTTAGGATTCAGTCAGTATTTCCTGTAAGAAAAATAAAGACTGACTCACTAGAAAAATACATGTTCAAAGGGGAAAAAAAAAAAAAAGGAACAGATAACATGAGATGTAGGGTCCTTTTCAACTCCTGTACTCATTTAATAATCATTGTCAATCCTCTCCTTGCCAGCACACCGAAAATCCTCCTCCTCCAATTATGATTTCACTTATGAATGCATCACTGAGGCTTTGGGGATCTTCCAGGAGACCTACGTTTCTGCTCAAGTATTCAACAAGGTATTGACACTAGCATAGGATAGGAAGGAGCAGATCCTCACTTGATGAGTACTGTTAACAGTCTCAGTGTCAGAAGCAAAAAGAAAAAAATAGCCAGAATATCATTTTGCATAGCTTCTCTGAAATCTTACAGCTTTTTCCCATCTTGAAACTGAAATGTCTTCTGAAAGACAGCAATGTAAAAGTTTCTCATTAGCTATGGCAGGAAACCTTCACTTATATATAATTTTTTTTCCTGTGCTATTAAGTCAGTGACATTTTCATCTGAAGGCAAATGGTCTCAATTTAAGATGAAAGGAAATTCTGAGCAATTTCTATATAATCTATTCTTGAACTGTGCCTTGTCTGTGCTAAATACACTAAGGAAAAATCACAAACATGAATTCAGTGCTAGACCTTTCCCAACAGAAGAAGAAAAAAAAAAAAGTTGCACTAATGGAAATGACGTAAGCAATGAGGAAGAGGAAGGACACTCCTGGCTGGATCAGGCACAGAGCAATAGCGCAGTTCAGACTTGTGCATGAAAATGCTTTTACAGTTTGAGCCATGCACAAACTCTACGGCAAGGAGGTTGCCTAGAAAAACCCAGAGCTTTGCCACTCCATGAAACTACAATGCTACTGTGAAGGACAAAAATACTCTATGGCCTGGATAATGACGTCCCAGCAGTCTACCAGACAAAGGAATTTTATGATCTGGAGAAGGACCTACCTGTGGCCCAATGTGTCTGCCTATTTGATCTCCACCACACTTTCCTGTTTTTTTCCCCCATATGTCTCAACTCTCTTCCTTCATAGAGAAGGAGGTATGTCTGGAATTTATTTCTACTCTTTACGTCAACAGCCTTCTCAGGTAACTTGTTCCATATGCTAGTTACCCTTTAAGTGAAACAGTCGACTCTGAGTCCTCCATTTACTCCTTGCACCTACTGGTTTAGATTATGCTTTTAGCTTTTGCCTGTCTATGTCTCTTCCAGATTCTGTGCAATTTATTTCATTTAGCATACACATTTTTAGCTTAATTACTTCTTATCAGATTATAACTGGAGCCCTCACTAGCCACCTGCCTAAGAGATGCGCAAATTTTATGCTGATGCAAGTCCCACTGGAAATTAAAAAAATATTGTCAATCAACACCTGTGGCCGCCTCACAGCAATGCTTTGGAGTCAAAGCATCCTGTTCCTGGTTTGTACACAGCCCTGGATGCCATTTGGTTAATTCTGGTGAACGTGTGCCAGAAGGAAACAGCCCACACATACCAAGCACGATGCAGCCAAACTTCTTACCTTATTTATGGCCTTAAGGGACAGATTCTGGGAACAAGAAAAGAAACAAGGAAAAAACCTCTCTTCTCACCTTAAATCAGTAGCATTTGTCAATCCTTTGCCTTACCCTAAAAATGCAAAGCCATCTACGCCCTCAGCAGGACACCATACAGAAGGTGATGGGCTGTGGCTTCCAAAAGAGGGTAAGCAGTTTTGCAGACAGCTCAAACACTTATCTCAAGAGCTGCCCCACACTGGTTTAAGGCTCTTCTCTCTTTTCACTTTCACTAAGAAAACAAACAAACAAAAAAAAGCAAAAGCAAAAACAAACCCAAAAGAAAACAAAGTGCTACTCAGGTAGAAAGCTAACAGTGAATACCATCAAATCAGGGAAGCTGTCTATGGGAGATAGTCTAAAATGCTAGGGTACTACGGAGGGATTAATCCCTGTTCCCCCCCACCACAGTAAACACACAGGGATGCCTCTCCTTTTCCCGTTTGCTTCTCATCTCCTCTATGCTACAATGTTTTTAGGTGTACAAACTGAATTAGTTTAGCTGCTTATAAAAATACTTGCTTTCTGAGAAGGCATGAAATCCTGTACTCAATCTAGCACAGGCTGTTTAGAGTATCTGCAGACACCTGGTGTATAGCCTTCTGTATCCAGGTTAGAACCAAAGTTTATTAATAGGCCAATAAAATGACATTACTGAATACTGTGTTTGTTTAGCTTCTAGTCCTGAATACATAGTACAGCTCTTACCCTTTATTTACCTAAACTGTTCAATCTGAAAAAGGAGGAAGCTGTAGGCTTGCTTGCTCCTCCAATCCCTCCATGCTCTGCTCAGCACAACATTGAAGAACTCTTGCCATGCAAGGGCCAAATCCGCAAAAGCCCTCAATCCTAGGTATCTGTACTGTCTGCATGGGAGGGAGGCATTTTTAATGATAAACTTGCACCAACTATACATGCTGGTGGAGAGAATGAGGATAAGAGTCCTCTGATCTACTTTAGACATCTGCTCTGTCAACACTTGCCCCTGAAGGATCAGCCATACCTCCCTCCTTGAACTCCCAAAGGAAACAGGCCTCTTAAAGCACAATTTGTTTTTTAGTGATGGAGAAGTGCCTGTTACTCTTCACTGGTTTAAGTGAGCCTGGATAGGTAGTTCAGATGTAAATGTGTCATGCAAGTCTGAAGAAAAGTGAGATGACTGCCACCAGCAACCTTTACTGAAATGTGTAATAATCTTTTCCCACAGTAGGATATTAATCCTTGAGCCATGTTGTAAAAAAAGTACTAGATGTAAAATCACCATTCTGATTTTGATAAGGGAAAAAGAGACAAAAAAGAAAAAAAGAACATTTCAAAAACAAAGCAGTCTAAATATTCATCTCCGGCTGACTCCTGTGAAAAAGCCTAAAGCATTTTTAAAAACAGTGTCTTCAAGCAGCCTAGATCCTTTCATTAATGCAATGGTTCATATTTATTTATTTTCTTCTCCAACACAGAGAAAATTGTTCAAATGCAGCAGCCAGACACATAGTGGCATTCATATCCCCTAATGGCAGTCATATAGTGCCTAATTCTCTCCACTTACGTTAGAGAGCCTAGCGTGAGCACCTCAGATGGGAACGGCTACACTACCAGCACCTGCCTTTGACTTGAAGAATGCGATCTAAACTGTAGTGTAGTTTCTTCAACTGAGAGGACACACATAAACCTGCATTTCCATTTTTGAAGCAAAACAAAGCCACAGTGCTCACCTCTCCCATTCCTAAAGCTCCCTCATCAGACAAAAAAACAACAGTAACAAAAATAAAAAAATCTGAAACTAATCCTTTACTTCAGGGCAGTACTTTACCAGACTAGGGAAGTGTTTTATCCCGCATAGTCAGTAAGTTCTGCTTCCAATGACAGGTAACAGAAGTCGTCTGCTAACTACTGTTAATAAACTCATGCAACTTCATAGACTGAGACTGACTTTTTCCCTTCCTCTAAAACAGGTAAAAAATTTCAGGTGAATTATGTGCTCTGTATTTGCACCCATTTAATCATCATGCTCCAACTAATCACAAGCAACTTCCAGAACTGTAGCATGAAGTCTTTATAAAGCATGTAAGTACACAACACTTCAAAGATATCACAAAAAGAAATGTAAGTGCAAATCAATAAAATTGTATCTGCAATACTAAAGGTCCTTTCCTTTCCCAGAACAATGTGGACCTTTGTTCTCACACAATGATGTATGCTTTAAGAACTCAGGGACTGCAATTATCTACAAATGTCTGTGTTTATAGTTCACTGATGACTGTTCATGGTTGGGGCTTTTTTAAAATCACAAAGGGTATTTTTTTGCCCCTTCTCACTTGATAAACTCTTGTATCTCAGAGTGTCTGCAGAATGAAAAGGACACAGTGTAATAAATGACTAAAACAAAAATAAAACAAAAGAATACCCTAAAAATTATGACTACTAAAAGATTCTACATCTTACTTGTATAAATCCAATTGGGCATTATATCACAACAAACTTTCAACTGTCAACATACAACCAGTTTTTATCAAATGGAGCCTAGTGGTTCTCTACACTTATGTATAAGATAAGATTTTAGCTTAAACTGCAGGTCATCTATTTGTTTCATTGACATGCTAGCTCAACTCAGTTATCTTAAATTTTTATTCTTGGGAGAGTTTAGGTTTCTCCAGTATCTGAAAAAAATGTAATTTGTTAGAAATCAGCACCTGAAGGATACACAGAAAACACAAACAATAATTATATCACAATTACTCACCTGCATGAGTTCATTGCTGTCAATCAGACTGTCTTCCAGCATCTCCTGGGTCAGCTTGCCCATGGTACTGTAAAACTCATCTGCGGTTTCACAACACTCTATTTGCCTACATCAAAATACATGTTGTTTTTTTATTTTGCTTTTACATATGATTATACACCTCCAAATCAAAACTGCAGTTTCTGTCATTGTAAAATACACGCTTCCATTAGTCACCTTAATTCTTAAGTTTATTGCAATCTTCCCTCCACCTCCAAATAATAAAACTGTGCACATCACATTGGAAATGCTCGTGCAGTAAAAGGATGTACTGAGCACAGCTTACTGTCCTGACAGCATGGATTCAAGGATTCATGCATGTCCAGACAGGTTATTCCCTCTGCCCCTTTCACTTCTACAACATGAGAATGAATATAACCTGCCTTCTACTAGCACAAGGGAGTTCTCCCATCAGCTCAGAAAGCGAGCATGAAGATTTTTTGACTGCCTCATCCCTCATTCTTCACTATGCACCAAACTGCATTCAGTGGTTGAACTGTCTTTTTGTCATCTATTTGCTGGCCAGAAAACATTCAGGTGGAGTAAATAAAGTACAGGTGTTTCTATACACATCACTGTATTCAAAAGAGCTGAACTCGCATAGTGCAGAATGAAGGAAAATTCACTCATATCCTGCATATTTATGAATGCTATTTCTAATTTAGAGATGCAGACTTTTTTTATTTGGGGGGTTTTTTTTGTCTTTTGTTTTGGTGGTGTTTTGGGGCTTTCTAGGGGGGGCTGGAGGGGTGGAGGTGGGGGGGTTGCTCGGTTGGGGTTTTTTGTTTTGTTTCCCCCACACACACACACTTTTTTTAACATGTCTAAAAACACAGAATCACCCACAGAGTGTCAGCTAGGAGAAGAGAAATATGAGTAATATGCTTTTGTGAGTTGCTGTTCTACATATATTAGGGTCAGCCGCTAAGCATCCTCTCCCATCAAGTGAAAAATTTGTTTTACTTCTATCCCAAACAAGTGCATTGCTGGCTACATATTGTAGCCTCCCCTGTAAAATACAGCTGCTGGAACGGTCAAAAAAAGTACACTGCCTTTTTTCTTAAGGATTAGAAGAAGAAGCTTCCCTTGATCTTCAGTGTCTATAGGGAACAAACATTGAACTATGAAACTGCTGCCATCTTAATCATTCTTTTAGCTAAACTATGCTGTTTAAAAAAAAAAAAAAGACTAGAAACAATGGGTATGTAGCCAACTACCACAAACTGCTTTCCTTCCCCAATACCTTCAAGTCTCTCATGATCTCCACATATTGCTTTCTCTACTGCATCTATTTTTAACATCCCCATTCCTTCAGTCTCCCCCAAAACAGAAGTAGAATTGAACCACCCACATTTTAGGAAAAGCACTTCTCACCCCATTTTCACATCTAGAAAGACAGTCTTGAGACATATGAAGATCATGACACTATGATCACTGTTTCAGGCCCCACTTCTTTAAATCCTCTGTTCTATTTCTAGTGGAAAAGAAAGGCACAAAATCGCAATCTTCTCCCAGCAAAAAGATAGTGCCCGATCTTTTACTTCCTCATCTCATTTGGTATCATTAATTACAAACTTACTGTATTTCAATTCTTGCCCAGTTTTAGCGACTCATCATCTTCAGAATCTCTGGTTATCCCACCAGTGTCCCTTTCTGTTAATTGCCCTCAAATCCGCCAGACCTTCTCCTATTCCCCACAAACAATAGTTGCAACGTGCACAGTGTGATCAGATCATTCTTATTCTTACAGATTTCTTCATTCTGTTCCTTCCAATTTTTATAAAACATGTTTCATTTTTGCTTTAAGTTTTATGGTAAAATCTTCAAAGCAGTGATTTTCTTTTTTATCCTGTTGAGTTGGAACATTCATAATTACAGCTTTTAAGTGCACAGAGACCCTCTGCAATAGGACCTTTCATCTAAAGGTATGGTACAAAGTAATAAAGCACAATGGGACTACATATGGCTTAATCCTAATGCAAATGATTCATGCAAGTTTCATTTATGAACTGAACAAATTAGGAAATTATTATTCTAATTATTATTCTTCAGATTAAAAAATTAAATATACTAAACAAAGCCTATGGGCCTGCAGTGCTGATTTATTCAGAAAGAAAAAAAGAAATTAAATCTCCAAGGACAGAGCTGAGCATAAATCCCAGTGGTTCAGTCTCAGGGAAAAAAAAGGAAGGCAAGTGTTGATAGGCATCACAAAAAAAATTTGATGCAGCTGCTGACACCAGCTGAAAAACATTTCCAGCTGAACTAACATCTGTTCGATCTGTAAGAGCTCACACCTCCCACTGAAGTCAGTGACAAAATTCATTTCTCCAGGAGCACTGTACACTCTTTGGAATGCAAATATTTGCTCTGACAACAGAGAAGTTCAGAAAAACTAACTGCCTCTTGTGTTTTGTCCTATGTGGTGAGTTTCCAAAGCCATAAAGGACTATAATAGAAACTTGGCTAGAATGTGCTTAAAAGCAGAGAATTTCGGAGAAATTTGCTGGCCAGCCTTAATAGAAAAGAACCATGTAACACTAAATCATTCTCTCAGTAACACAGAACTCTTTTCTTGGGTACAGTCAATGGGCTCAAATCCTTAAGTCTCTAAGTGAAAATAAGGGAATTAACATCCCCAGCTTCAGGTACCCAACTAAATTAGCTAGTCACCCTAAGTCTCTCTGTACTCTTTCCACAGATTATTTACCAGCTGCCTCAGAGGTCTATGTTCTAGAAAATCCAACCAACCTTTTAGCACAGCATGAAGACATTATACACACACGCAAACAACTGGAGACATTTCCTGCAGCAAGGGTCAATTAATTATAGTGCCCATTCTGACATGATATCAGGAGCACATGTTTCTGGGAAAGCCATGGAGGCACTTTGTGCAGCTTTTTCAAAGCAGAATCATTCTGAAAGACTGCATCTTGTTTAGAATTGAGAACACACTCTTCAGAACAACATAAGTTACACACATTGCTCATACTGAAAAGAAAAATCAGATAAAAATGGCCACTTACTCTCCTAACTTTGCCCAGATGGCCAAAGCTACTCTCAGTATAATTTCAGAGCCTTCAAAGAATACTGAATCCCAGATCTTCAGAACTGTATGATTAGGCAGACAAGTGGCAAAGAGTGTCAGAAACCATTGCATTGTGAAGACATTTGTAAGTGGGGGTTCATAGCCTCCTGAAAAAAAAAGATGCTTAAAGCAATTGTAATTTACTATTATTTTACAAGGAGTATAAACAACATATTGAAGTCCACCAGACATTCTAGTACCTCTATTATTGCTCAAAACTTAGTAAGCCTGCAGTTTTCTTAAGATAAGCTGAGAAAAAGAGCAACGGAAGAATTACATACTGAAGTCACCTTTCATTCTGCTGCACTGCAAAATCTCTAAGCAGCAGCAGCACTGTTTTGGGACTGTAAACCTCGGAAAACACCACATTTGTTTTTCTTATACCAGAAAGATTACTTTTCCTTCCCCAAAGGAACTAAAAGCTTTTATTAAAAAAAAACAAAACAAAACCCAAACCCAAACCAACCCCAAAACTGCTGCATTTCTTCAGTAACTAATGGTAAATGGTAAATAAGAAGTCTTTATCTACATGATGGTGAAAGTGACTGTCTCTGTAAAGTCTTACCTATTGTTTTAATATCCTGATGCACTGCCAGCTTAGCAGAAGTGACTGTAACACATTCAGGTTTCCTTTTTGCTTGTTAAGTTTCAAATAAGAGTTATTATTTTAGCCTGAAACTCTGAAGTTTTACATTCTTACTATGCTCAGAGAATACTTTGTGCATCCTTGTATCAACTGATGCACTGAAGGCCATGACCAAAGAGGCTGCTGCCTGTGAAAACACTTTCAAACAGCAAATACTTCCTTGATACCCTTTCTTTGTTTTTTTACAGTTTGGGCAGAGTCACGGTTTATTTACATGGAACATGGTAGCAGATCTTTTCTAAGATGGAACTCAGGGTGCACTTAGCTTCCAGACAGAAAAAAACCCCACACTCCCAAATAAAAGAGCAGTATCTTGTTTGGGAAAAAAAAAAAAAAAAAAAAGAGGGAATGCTATACCAGAAAAAAAAGCACAGTGCAAAGCCAGTTTTCAGGTAGCAACCCAAGAAGTACTCCTAAGTTTTGCACCTGTGTATTGCTAAGGTGAAAAAATACTAACCAGATACTATTGGTTCTCACACTGTAACTCTTCCCAGAACAGCTATGCAAGCTAGCAACTACAGGGAGCAATAGTAAGACAGGTATCTTCAACTAAGGCAAGGAACAGCCTTTTCAAGGTAGCCCTTGTACTAAGCTGTGTGTTACAGCGTTGTCACTCCATACATTTTATATCCTTGTTAACACAATTCTGTTTGAAGTTAGTGGTGGGACCAAATTATTTCCCCTTTATTTTTTCCCCAAGAGCACCACCTGTTTATGTTAAGCTTACCAATAACGGAATCCATCATCTTTCACCTTAACAATTTAAAATATATATTCTAAGCAATAAACTCATGTAAACACTTAAAAGACTGTATTTTTAGACCACTGCTCAGATGAAACAACAGCAAAAGGGAATTTAATAGTATTTTCTGTTGAACTTACCTCCACTTTCTCTGTTAGCAGCTCTTTGCAGTGTGTCTAAGTGCTGGGACAGTTCAGGAAGCTTCATTCGTAAAAGATCTCGGAAAACAGCCATATCCACAGAGAGAGCGCGGAGATTATTGACAAAATAGCTATCAGGAAGCACCTTATCAATTAGGTAAATCATGATCTGTGGGGCAAATGACATATAATCATGGAGGACCTTCAGAGACAGTTATTTTCTAGGAATAACAGGAAAAAAAAAATACAGAATTTTAAAATTCTCTGTTCACTAAAGAATGGCTTGGAGCCAGTGGCAACACATGCCTCTGGTATCTCCATTTAATATGGGGAGAAAACATAATTTTAAGCATTCGCGGGTACTCCAGGTATCCACAAGCAATCAAGGTGGAAAAGCCTCTTGAAGCTGTCCAGAATCTATGAACCATTAATGACCGAAATCAATGTCACAGTAAGCTATGCCCAGGTTGGAAGCGTTATGCAAACTAAAGGCAACTTTTGGCACTTCTGATGCTCTATGTGTTTATGAGATCTCTAGACTGTTGGAAAGTTCCACTGTCCCTTCTCCGGCTGTTAGCTGCCACAACTAGAAGACTGACCTTCCAAATCACCTTTTTTCCCTCTCTCCAAAATGCAAGATACTGTTCTTTAAAACACATTCTCCACACATTTTACTGTGATGTGTTACCGTGTGCTGCACTTCATCTTGTCACTTTAAAAGGTGCTAAATTAAGCAGCGTGAGAAGTTTTAAACAGACATCTGTTTCAAGTGTGATAGCTCAACTACAGGGGTGGTGATGTATTAACTGGATGCTGTCAAACTTTTGAGAATAAACAAATGCAACAAAGAAATATGTTGAAGTTGATGTACATCATCCGCCCAACAGAAGATGCTCACCTTCACTTCAGTATCTTTTACAATCTCTATGGCCACTCTACAAACCGTACCCAGAAAGCCTGCATGTGGTCATCCTGTCTGCTTCAACTCTCCATTATTCCTTTGTTAAAATTTCAAACGAGCATCCTTATCATCTGTTTGATACAGCCTCTAATGCTTGAGGAGCACGGCACCTTCATACACAGGAAATGATCCTCCTTCCAACCCCTCTCTTTTTATAAGATGCTCACAAAAATAGCTTGGCAGACACTAGAATTTCAAGAGCACCACTTTACATAGTCTCACTGCTTCCTTTTCTCTTCCAACTGCTTGTGACCACATACTACCACTTGTCCTTGCAAGATTTTTTCGGGCAATAACAGTCTTCTGTTCCACGTTTTAAAGCACATAGATCAGTAGTCAATGCATGCAAATCAATAGTTCTTACACATTTTTGATGGGGCCTTTTATTTTTGTTAAGTTTTAAAGACTGTAAGGAAATAGGTGATCAAAACATGGTACACAGGTTAGCTGGAATCTTGTATTTTGTCAGATGCATTCCCTAACCTTTACTGAATACCAGGACATCATTGTCTTTTAAAAATACGCTTTATTTTGTTCTGATATATTTCAACCAATGGAAGAATAATTTAATATGGCAACATTGTTACAACTATGCTATTTGTGTTTTCATTAATTTCGTATGACATAAGCCTCCCTACCTTAAAAAAAAAATCTATTAAAATTATAAAATTTATAAAATTTTTATTTTAAAAAATTATGAAAGTTTTTGCTCCATTCCCACTGCATGGTATTAGTTCAGAAACCTCAGATATATGAGAGCATAGGAAGTCCATTCTATTTCGGTGACATGTGAATTGTTTTAAGAATGCTTTTTTAAAAAAGCAATTTCACGTGTTTACCAGTTTGCAATAGATACTTTCTTCGTGACACATCTCTACATACTTATTTTTATTATTTGACTTTGTAATATTTCCCCACAATAATGTGCAGGAAAAAAAAATGTTTTTTTAAGTTTCAGTATCTATGAGACTTTTATACGTACTTCTATAGGTTCTACACATGCAAGCTGTGATTTTCTGGCTGATTTCAGTAGGCTAACTTCGAGGTGTCTTCAGGATTTATCTTAAACATGCCTGCCTTAACTAGTGAAGATTCAAGCATCCTTGGCTGGGCATTCACTGAAGCTACCATGTTGGGTCCTGTGCTGTTAAAACCCCATGGCATCAGTAGTACCAGCTGTTTCGCAGCTTCTGGGAGACACTTCCCAGACACAGAGCTTCTGTTTATAATGCCCTTCCCAGAAAGGGGACCTGACTGGCAAGCCTGGAGAATCCCCTTGCTCCCTTAATTCCTAGACGCTGCAATAATCCAAACATAGTTTCCCCATAGATCCAATCCTGAGGGCAGCTTTGCAGGCAACAGCCTCTGCAGCTGTTCCAAAGTCACCCATCACTTGTGTTAGACAGCACAGTGACTACAGCAAAGAAACAGCCACATGCTAACCCCCAATTCCTCCCCCCACCCCTTCCTTTTTTTTTTTTAATCCTTCCCTTTTCCCTCTCTCTTCTGGGGAAATTCCAACCCTGCAAAGCCCACACGCTAAGCTTGAAAAAGACATGACTATTCTCCATTCTTATTTTCTGCAGGTCATACCCACTTTGGTGCTAACAGCCTTCGGTTCTTTACCTCCCCAGGGCAGCCGGGTGCCACTCCATTATCTCCTCAGCACAAGGAGCCTGACACCACTCACAGTAAAAGACAATCCAATAATATAAAGATGCATACAGTTCTTATAATCAATTTGGACTTCATAAACCTTGGGCAATTTTATTTCCTGTATTATCATAATGTGTTTTAGGAGCTTCTGGACAGTATAAGATCACAATAAAATGTAACAAATTCTAGTTAAAAATAGTGAGGAAATTTTTAGCAAGAATGATTAAAAGGAAATTTTACTCTCTGGTATAAAGTAGGTACATTAGGGTATTTTCTTCTTGTTACAGGCAGCTCTCTAGATGAAGTATTAAATACCAGCTAACTGGACTCTACTACCACAAGTTTTATACATTATAGGAGCTCTGAGTGAATTTAAATATTTACCATACTTAAATCATTGTCTAAGGCAAAACAAACAGCTCAATATGTCGAGAATCAGTCATCTTTTAGTAATTTGACCCCAACTCATACATATGAGCAAGTTTACTTCAGGAAATTTGCACATGATCTTGGCAAACCTTAAAACACATTCCTGTAGTAAGCTGTATTTCCATTTTCTGACACAGATTTCATTACACTTTCTATTAAATAGAATAAAAAAATAAAACTCTGTATGACTAATGTAGCCCAGAAAGTAGCTTCAAAGTGATTTACTTTCATTTTAAATATTTATTTTGTGTTTTCCTAAAATTTGCTTTAAAATGCAAGATTTATTAACTGCCTTGCATGCTACTGCCACACAAGAGACTGATAATGGAATCTGAAGGTTTCAGCTACCTATTGTGTTTGGAAGCAGGTTTGGGATTATGGGATAAGATATTCTAAAGTCAGTAGCAGTGTTCCCATTTATTTTTATTATGGCCAAGCCCTCATCTGTTTCTGTTTGAAAAAAAAATGTTAACAGTGATAATATTCAAACTGTTCATGTTAGCTCAGACAGGATAACAAACAATCTGCAGATATAAATTGGTTAACTCCTTTAAAGGAGTCCTGTTCTCTTAGGCTGCCTACAAAATTCACACACTGGTTTATTCTAAAGCTAACTAAGTAAAAGCAGTCTTCAACACTGAAAAAAAAAAAAATTTACTCACTTTCAGGGCATCCCCTTCATTGCCCTCCATTACTTCCAGAATAAGTGCAGCTAGTATGTTAAATCCTTGACAATAGCCAACAGATTTATTCCACCTGGCATAAGCCAGCAAAACACGTTTTAATACCACTCGATCTTGCTCTGCCTCTTGGCCACAGTAAGAACTGCAACCAGTTCGGTGAAGGTCCTGTAAAAAGGAAAACAAAAAAAAAAAAAAAAAAGAAAAAGACAAGAACAGAGATGTGCATTTTCCTTCCCTCTTTAGTTCTCCTGCCTGCCCCAGTTTTCCTTCCACCTCCACCCTCCCAACACATACTCCCAAAGTTGATGCCAATGTTTCTTTTTAATCTGTAAACCCTTAGCTTACTGAAGAGAAATAGATTCAGCAAGCTCTTAAGTAAACAAGTTACCTAAAAGATGTTCATACGAAGTTGTCACAGAAGATATTAACAGATATCTAGGTTTCAAAGAGGCAAGACATAACAGCTGCTTAATTGAACAAAAAAAAGCAACTGTTTTTATCAAAGTATAAAAGAACTACTAGGCAACTAAGTTTTCAAAACATAAAAAACCAGAAATTGTGTCTTTGAGATTTAAGCAATTTTTAAGTGAAAGGCAAAACGTACTACAATGCTCAATGTTTCATAAGTAATATCAATAAGCTTAAATTACCAAGTACAGATGACAATTGTAATAATCAGGAACACAAAGTATTTTACTCCACGTTCTCTAATTAAGATGACTATAGAACACAATCTCTCCTAAATAGAGTAATGCCTCCTAAATGGGTAAACAGACTAATATTTAAGCCACCACAGCAATACAGATCTATTAAGCTCTTCCGTAAAACTGCCCACTGCTTTAAATATTAAATGTTAATTAGCTAAGAAATATACATAGACAAAGGTGTTTCATTCCTATGAAATAACTAAAAAATGCTTAATTGCTATATTCAATTATAATTGCTATAAATATACTTTTTAATCCCAGCAAACATTTGTGCTTATTTATAGAGAAGAAATAAACTTATGTTCCTTCCTCCATTAAACTCCAGTATTTTTTTTTAAATAAAAAAAGTAGAAATAGTGCAAAAGAAATCAGTAATAGCAATTTTTTCCCAGCTAACACTAACCACACCAGTGGAGAAGAAGGATCAAAGAAGCCAAAGAAATAATTTGCATGGACCAAAGGGAATTAAGATGTAAATTTTGCCACAGCAGTTGCAGAGAACAAAATAAATCCAAATCCTATCCACTAAAAAAAAAAAAAACAACCCCACCCAAACAAAAAAAAAAATCCACCTTCAACTTTTCATTAAAAAATTAAAATAAAATAACAAATTAGCTGGCTACCTTTACTATCTGGATGCCCATGGAGTCATCATCAGGATTACTTCTTTCATTGAATGTGAAACGCATGGTTTTATCCCAGTCAATGGCTATGCTGTGTAAGTACTGATCAGCTAGGGTCAGCCAAACCTAGGAATACACAAAGCAAGTCAACAAAATGAATTATTTCTCAAATAAAATATGAACAGTTTTGAAATATACTGTTAGATGAACCTCATCAGCTTCACCCATATGTGATCTGCTGCTAGACTTGAAATACGCAGAAGAGGACTATTTCTAAAACAATTTTAGCACAATTAAAGTGATACCTTGCTCCCTAAAACAGAAAGGAAGGAAACAGCATTAAGTGTCCAGGTCTGTGAACTGCTTACAAAGATGCAAGTCCCTTGCCAGAACCTGAGTCCACAGGGACCCTCCAAGATGGAAGCACACTTTCCTGCAAGGACCCTCTTTGTCAGTTCGGCCCTTCTAACCTCATAACCAGCAAGGAGTTTTATAAAAGGTAACACTGCTGCAGGCTTTCCTCAAATTCAACTATGGATCCATCTCCTGGAAATCCCACAAAAAAAATACAGTGGTGCTTCTCTTTACCAGAGGTCTCTTCTGATCAACTTTGCAGAAGAAATAGCATCTAGTATTAACCATTTGGGATTGATCTGAAAGTATCACTTGGATCAGAGTAACACATTCTTACAAGAAGTCTTCCTAAACTGTTGGTGCTACAGGGAGTTCCGAAAACAAACATTTTGACTTTTTGTAAAGCTTAATAAATTACCAGAACAGATTTATGCATCTGTATCTAAGATAAAGTCTGAATCTTTATTAAAACATTTTAAAAGTTACTGAACCATGAAAGACAGATCGTACAATGACAACAAGTAACAATAAAGGATCTTTCTCTTCAGGAAATTGAAAGAAATCATGAAAGCAAGTTGGGCGAGTTTTATATCAGCCGTTAACTCACTCAAGTGAGAAAAGCAATTCAGACACTTCCCACAGATTTAAACACCAAGCTAGTTGCATGATGAAGGAATTTATAGACAGCTCCCAGAATCTTGCATTTTCTGCATTTAAATGTCTCTTCCCACACTTCTGCAAAGCTACCCCTGCGGAGGAATGCTGCTGTTCTGCCGCCCAGCAGCCTTTGGCACCACTGACATCCTACTGATGCTGTTCGACTAGATTCTTTTGTTTTCTGGAGCTGGCAGAGACAATGTCACATGCCACAGCAATAATGCAGATGTCACCCTGCTCCTTCTGCTGCCAGCAAAGGAGGCAATCAGCATGCTGCCAACACAAAACGTTTCCTGCATTTTAGTATCAATCTAAAATCATTGGGAAACCAGGGAATGGCAGTGTTAAGAAAAAGGATGTGGTCTTTTCACTACTTCTTTGGTTAGCATCATATGGTCATGTGTGAGCAAACACAGAGATGGGAAGAATGAGAAGGAAAAGACAGAGGTCCAAGTTGGATGATGTGGCAGAACACGCTCTCAGCAAGTCTGCTAATGACACAACACTGGGAGAAGAGGCTGATAAGCCCAAGAGCACCTTGACAGGCTGGAGAAATGGGCTAACAAGAACCTCACGAAGTTCAACAAGGAGAAGTGCAAAGTCCTGCACCTGGGGAGGAACAACTCCAGGCACCAGTATATGCTGGGGATCACCCAGTTGGAAAGCAGCTTTTCAGAGGAGGGGGTCCTCGTGGACACCAAATTGACCATGAGGCAGCAAGGTGCCTTTGTGTCAAAGGCAGACAACAGCATCAGGCAGAGCACTGACAGCAGGTTGAAGGAGGTGATCCTTCCCCTCTGCTCAGCCCTAGTGAGACACACCTGGAGCACTGGGTCCAGTCCTGGGCTCCCCAGTACAAAAGAGATACAGAACTACTGAAGTGAGTCCACAAGGGGCCACTAAGAGGATTAAAGGACTGGAACATCTATCTCTCCTATGAGGAAAGGCTGAGAGAGCTGGGACCATTCAGCCTGGAGAAGAAAAGGCTCATGGGAGATCTTATCAATGTATATAAATACCTGAAGGGAGGGTAAAAAGAAGACAGAGCCAGGCTCTTCTCAATGGTGCCCAGTGACAGGACCACAGACAAAGGGCACAAAGTGAAACACAAGAGGCTCTGTCCAAACATCAGGAAACACTTTTTTTACTGTGAGGGTGACAAAGCACTGACACATATTGCCCAGAGAGGCTGTGGAGTCTCCATCCTTGGAGATATTCAAAAGCCATTTGGACACGGTCCTGGGCAATCAGCTTGGTCAGGCTTGTTGTACTAGATGAGGCCCAGAGGTCCCTTCCAACCTCAACCATCCTGTGATTCTACGACTTCTGCCATTCACATACCACAGAAAAATGCCTGAGAGACTTACTTGAGTGTGGGAAAAGACTATTTCAGGAAAGAAAAAAGGCTGTTAGATGGATATAATGATTCATTGGAGTTGTAGCTTAAAAATAAAATCATAGTGGTGTGAGGAAAACAATGCCACTATAAGTCTTCCATTTCCTTTCCCCCTGATTTGTATAAGAGGAACAGTTCAGTTTGGAAAGATAGCAAAATGAAAACAGGAAAAGGAAATCTGATGCATCAAAAATATATGGAACCACATATACTTTATAATGCCTTAAAAACATTCTTTTTATTAAAATCACATTTTCAAAGCTGAGATCATGCGACTGAGTTTTATAGAAAAGATGAATAGACATGCCTTTTTTTAGGCTAGGGAACTTCAAACATGGTTAAAGAAAGAAATAAAGTAAGTTTAGCAAAATCCTACTGGATCCTTTCCTACAACACTACCTCAGTGCAATTTCTCATTAATGGCACACTCTACCATTCTACATCACTTCTGACTCTGAACTGCCCTAATTTAGGCAATCTGCCTTTCCCCCATCAAATGTTTCTATGAGCATTCTTGTCAGCACTAGCATCTATCAACTTCACCTTCGTAAGTATGACAGCCTACACTGGAGATTTGCTCTCCTTTCAGCTGGTTGTCAGCTGCGAGGGCAGCTTCACCAGTGCAATTCCTTGAGACTGACAGAACGAAGCAATAACATCTGCAGCAGAATAAGTTACCTAAGCCTCAAGTAAAAGAGCCTGACTATTGAAAACACCATCTTTACCTGTCTCCTCAGGCTCTCCAGCTGCCCTGTGAGGTTATCACTGAAGAATGTAAACTAGAAAAAAATCCCCACTAGAATTTAAAGCTTCCAAATATTTGCTTAGAAAACACTGATAATATTGATGTCATTCACCTCTCCTGAGAAACCCACAGGCACTGTGTCCCACAAAGCATACAGGTCTACCTACCTTCCTCCGCCATTCTTTCGGTATGCCTGTCGGCAATCTAGCCACTGCTTTGAGCGCATCGTGCCACTGAAAAGAAAAGCATACAAAAATGTATAAAATCCACCATTAGTTTAACGCAACAGTATAGCAACATTTACAGAGCTGCAGATATGCATATTCATTTCATTTTACTGCATACATTTCAGAGTTTAACTGCTTAATTCACTCACAGGGAAAATATAGATTAATTACCTAATGGTATAACAAAAATAAAATATTCTGGGACACAAAGACTTACGAGATATTGGAGTAAACAATGAAAGTGTATTATATTTTCCAAATACTAATGGAACAGCTCTTGATGCAATTGCAAATAATATGCTGACATTATGATGGCAGATGCACTTCTGAATTAGGGCAAGTACCTTGACTGAAGAGAACCCAGTCCTTCATAAACTCAAGAGAAAAATTAATCAAATTACCTGCTGAAAACCATTTTGACCTAAAGATGGTTCGAGGGTGAACTTCAATTTTGTATCAACCCCTAGATACAAAAAGGAAAAAAAAATAATCATAGTCATTATTTTCCTTTAGCTCAGAAGGAAAAAAAAAAATTGAAATAGAACACAAGATTTCAGCTACATGTTTCAACAACTACTTTTGTAGTTTGTTGATTCACTGTTTCACTGTTTCTGCGAATTCTTGTCTTCACACTGGATTCGATGCACATGTTAAGTAGTACATGGACAAAATGTTTTTAAAATGCAGTAATACACTCTTTAATGGTGTAGTTTAGCACAACTCACTTCACTAAAAATCATGTAGTTCACTACTCTACAAACTATATTTGTACACTGCAAACTATCATATGCATCCACAAAAAAAAAGTATAGAGAGACAAACAGTTTCTTTCTACGTATTTCAATTTCTTGACGTTAAATCATTCAAACCTCATTTCTAAGTTTTCAGTGCTAAAATTATTTTATTGCTCAGAATATCAAATTTTTTATAATTCCTCAGAACATAAAGCACATTCAGTCAGTATTCACATGTAAGCTTAGATTTTATTTTGCCCACATGAGCAAATTACTTTAATTGTAATTAAAGCCTGCTAATAGTCTATAAAATACAATATTAAATAAAATACTAGTATTTCAAGTTTGGCCTACACTGGATCCTGACTATGGCACCGGAATATGCCATAACATGAAGAGGAGTAACATTTTTAATTTACTTTATATCCCACATTTTGAACGTGCAGGCGTTTAGTCCTTCAAATGCCGCTGTCCAGAGCTCCGGTGCTGAACACCACGTCGCAGCACATCCCCTCCCTCAAGTCTTCTGGCATAAAGAATAAAGCCTTTCTTTATTTTTCTCCCCTAATTTAAGACGATGTATTGCTCCATATTTAAAATGATGTTATGCATAGCTTCTTGACTTACTATAATATCAAGCCAAACATTTTTAATGTATATTTTAATAGCCGTATATATAAAACCCAGATTTTAATCTTTAACCTTTAATGCAAGGTTTTAAGCATATAAAATCCATGCTAATCAACTCACCAGTAGTACTCAGTGCTTTGGAGGATTAAGCCTGTGAGCCTGACAAACCCAAACTATAGTGGCATTTGCTAGTTATGGAATGTAAAATGCCTTTCAGCACTTACATACTGAAGTGGCGATAAGCAATTTAAAAGCCTTACTGCCTGATAAATATATATTTAAAGGCAAAGCCTTCAAGGCTTCCCGCCCCCCACCCCCTCCCCGGCTGGTGAGGGGAGAGGGAAGAGAAAGAAAGAAAATTCACACAAACCCCAATATTGTTTAGATTTTCAGCATTTTAGAATTGCATCACTGAGACCTGGGAATTGGTGCTTTCATTTCTCTGCTTCAGATTTAAAAGACATTATTTGTCAGATATAGAAAAATAAAAGCTTAAAACCATAATAGGAATGTCTCAAAAAACAGTAAAGGATTAACAGTTATTCCTGGAAGTAACTGTTTATTAGTATTCTTCCCCATAACTCTATGGCACTCAGCAGGGACTCCTAATAGATAAATCTCTTCTAATAATTCAAAGCAATGTAACAATGCCAGTAACCTACTAAGATGAAATTGTAGCACGTTTGCTGTAAATGCAAAAAAATGCATCTCATTCCTGATCAATCTAGTGGTAAGCACTGTAAAACCCTAATACATACAAAAAGACATCATGACCAAGAACTCCTTTTGTTAAGCTAACAGATGTTGACACGTTATCTAACCCTGCCTTTTAGCAAAGAAGCCTTCCAAAAGAATCATGCATTCATTTCCAACTCAGCAGCCAACTATTAATCACTTCACAGTTTTCTAAGACTTAAAGATCCCAGTGACAACATCTCTCTTTGCCTTATAAGCTTCCTGAGAAAGATGCGAGCAGAGACAGATAAGTCTGCAAAAGATCAAGCACAGTAAGATAGAACCTCAGAGAAAGGCAAAACATGTCTGTTATTTACATGAACATCATGACCAGGGAGCTCACACGGGGCCCAGACAGTTGTCTATTTTATTTTATCTATTTGATAAAATAAGACTGAAATGAGACCCTTGTACTTCCATCTACAAAAGTTTATTAAATCATGGCAGACAATTGAGACAGGTGTGAAAAGTACTAGAAATGAGAATAACATCATGTAGTAACACCAGACTACACGGCGCACTCTCTTCAGTATCGCGAGGAACCTCTCAGTCAGGCCATACACTAGCATTTATATTCTTGTAGAAGCCATGGAGTCTGTGTCCCCTTATTTGTTCGCAGTTAGAAATATTCCCAAATCAAATTATGTAGTGGTTTTGTGACAGGGGAGGGGAAGAGCCATGGGGAGTGAGCCACAGGAATGGTTCCTCATTCCTACCCATTTTAAAGAATTTACATTTCCTAAAACCAAAAAATTACAACCTTGTTCAATAAAAATACAGCAAGTAAGCAAGTTAAAAAAAAAAAAAAAGCTGCAACACAAACATTACAGACAGAGCAAGGAAAGGTTATACCCACCCAGGAACTTCCCAGGGCATCTACAGGAAGGCAACCAGCAAGCTGGGAACAGCACCTCATTGCCCGTTAGTTATTTCTGGCACAAGAACCATCTTGCTACATACAGTTTCTGAACTCTTCACTGAATTTGCTTGTGGACATTACTGCCTACCTGTATTCCAACCTCTCTTGGTTTCCCAAATCTTCCTACCTCCATTGTTCCCCTTTTCGTCAGAAATTTCCCTCCCCTGCACATGCTTGCTTCCCCACCCTCAGTCCTGTCATTTTAATCCTGTCCACTTCTGCCTGGATCACCACCAGCCTTTCCCCAGGGCCTCCTTCCACATACTGTCTTTTCTCCCTTACACTTCCATCATCTGCTGCACCTTACCAGCAACTCCCTTTAATTCTATATTCAGTTGCCTTCTCCCCACAAACTAACTTAGATTCCCTGATGGCTTCTTCCCCCCTCTGCACCTCACACCTATCCAACCCTACTACAGACCTTCTACACCCATTTTCACTGGATTTTCCCCTTTTTGTCAATCTTCCATCTCTGGGACACGTTCCTCTATGTTATTTCTGCTCTTTGCAGAACAGACCCCTTAGAGCCTTATAGGAACTTTTCTTCCCAGCTCCTCTGCATGGATTGCCTGGCAGAAACATACCACATACACAGCGATAGTTCCTACTCTTGGGGACTGTAAGAGCTGTCAGTACAACTCAGCTCTTTCACATCAAGCCAGCCAGGCTATAGTGTCATTTGACATATTAAGTATCACCTCCAGTTCATACACTTTCAACTGATGCTTCATACCTAAAAAGTATATTAAGTCATCTAAGCAGGAATGTGTTGGGAACATACATGAATTATTAGCTCCACAAATATAAGCATACACAAAGGTACATATATTTGGAACCAGTCAAACTTCTGAAGGGTAGGGAAATGCCAAAGTAAGGCCTGTTCAATGCCCTCACAACCAGGTCACTAGAAACAGCTGTGGAAAAGTTATTTAAAAAATAAAAGGTATAAAAAAGAAAGATAAAACCTCACAAAAGCCAGTCCCGTTAGCTTTTCCATGTAAAATACACAATGAATCCTGACAACAAAAGGCTGCAAGAGGGAAAATTATACCCCTAGGATTCACAAACACTAGCAAACTGTAGCACAGGACCACATAAAGAGCTACAAGAGGGGAGAAAAAACGTTGTGGGTCAGCCAAGCACTTGGGTGAAGGAATCAAATCTCCACTCACATTAAACAAAAGAGTGGGGCAGAGTCTCGGGCTTTTTTCAGAAATACTAAACCAGAAAAAGCATAGGAAAATGATCTGTTCTGATGCACGTACATGAGATATAAAGCCATAGCTTCAAACTTACAAAGGACATCAGTGTAGGTTCTTGGCTATACTTAAAAGCAGTTGTTGAAACCACTCCCATGGAAAACCAATAAATATTTTATCGAAAACAAATGAGGAAAAATGCCTAAAGCAGCTTTGTGTGCAGTGGGAGTCCAAACTTGGGGAAAAAAGTGGCAATGTAAACTACCACCTTATTGTTTCTTGTTGTTTTGGGAAGATTCTTAGCCTTGCCTTGTAATTTATCTCCAAATGTAGGTTTTCATCTGTAAAATGAAAAATAAAAGTAACATTCTGAGTAACTCTGCGTGAAATCACTCTTGTAAGGAGCCAGATCTCACTAGGATGTATCAAAGCACATCTAAAATCTGAAGTCTACAGAAACTTCTCAATACAAACAGCTGATACAAACACTAAGAAAATCTGAAGGAATCTTCATTCAGCTTATTTTTTAAGAGCTCATTTTAGATGTCCCGTCTCTGTCACTCTCTGAAAGTATGTATCCTGAATGATGTTATTGTATTTACTTACACATGAACAATATGGAAACCCCAATCCAGTGGATTTCCTAGCTTTAAGACTATGGTGTTCGTGGTTACACCTCTGATCATTTCTCCTGGTCTTTGTGGGAGCATAAGTAAAAGAATGTCATTATCCAGACAACATCATTACCTACAGACTACTGTAGAGGCAGGGGTCTGTGAGAAATGCATCAGGAAATCTCCTTGATAACAGCAACCCCATAAACCTATACCAGAATATATCTGAGACCTTATTAATAATAGCATCCGAAATACATCTCAAAAACAGCAGCAGTCAGCATTGTCAGCTTGACAGACACTCAGCTACTACAATGAGAAACTGAATCTTAACATTTCTTTCCATTGCTCTGTTTCAGTAGACCTCAGGCTTGCATGTTTTTTAAATGCCTAGGATTAGGCAACAGATGAACAACATTTTAGCTACAAGTGACAGCTCTAGCATTGTAAATTGAATTTAAATTTCCAATACTTCATTAAAAAAATGCAAACGATCTAGAACTTTGATGGCAGGCACCTAGAATCTAGTATTCAATAATGATCACCCATTGGTGCTTCTGCTGAGAGCCCACCTCCCTGGAGCAAACACACATTGTTGGCTGACCACCTGGTCCTTAACAGATCTCGGCAGT